TCATTCTTTCATTAAGATGTCCCTTATATTTTACTGACCTTGGTCTTTTTTTTTTTCTTTTTTCTTTTTAATATATCTTGATTGATTTCAGAGAGAGGAAAGGAGAGGGAGAGAGAGAGACAGAAACATCAATGATGAGAGAGTCATTGATTGGCTGCCCCCCTGCACATCCCCAACTGGGGATCGAGCCTGCAACCCGGGCATGTGCCCTGACCGGGAATCGAACCCTGATCACCTGGATCCTAGGTCTACGCTCAACCGCTGAGCCACGCCCGGCCGGGCAGACCTTGGTCTTAGTTTCAAAAGGACCGCACTGATTTTGCAGCCACAGAATTTTTGTTATTCCTGACGAATGCAATGTGGTTGTTCTCTTACTGTTATTTCTCGGCAGCACAGGCGCCCACGAGCACGGCAGAAGTGACTGTCAGGTATGCTATTTCTGTCTGCCCTCGCTGAAGCCGCTGCTCACACCTGGGGGGCAACCGTCTGAACCAATGCACAGCCTTGGATGGGGCCTCACTCAGCATAACTTTGATGCATGTCTAATGACCCATTAGAAGACCTTGTTCTTGGAAACTTCAAGGCTGACATTTGAGTGTTGCCCATTAAATTTGCCTAAAGGTTTGATGCTGACTTTAGCCTCAGATTTCATGCTCATACCCTTGGTGTAGTCGCCTTGCTTTCCACAGCACCGAATATCCTCCTACAAAGCATAATGCCATCATCTACCTGTTATTCTGCCAAAAGACACACACATTTTGTTGATGCCTGCAGCTTTCTTTTTCCTGGTCCCGGGTAGGAATAAACTTCTTCCTTTTCGGAAAACAGTCCTCCTTTTGTAGGCGAACATCCGCTTGTCAGCCATAATGTTATTGGTTGCGTCACGGCCCACAGCCACTGCTCTAACTTTTCAGTGTTGAAAATGGGTTAGCTTGTTTTGCAAACAGCAAGTCATCAAGGAACACAGGTTGCCAATGGAACCGCTGGCACTATGAAACTTCTGCCCATGGTGAAAGAAATAATTTTAGAAGGGGAAATCATTTGGTTTGGGATGAACCACAAACTCCCTGAGGAAACTGTTACTCCCTATGAAAACTAGTCTTCCCAAACCTATGTTCATTTGGGTCTGGAAAACAGACCTCACGATCATCTTAGCTAAAGAAATACCTTGTTATGAAGTCACTGATTGACTGTATCCATAAAGGGGTATGGGTGAGTTGGGCCCAATTACTCTGACACCAAGTCCTTTTGGAAAGTTCCTCAGCTTATATTACCATGGTAATTACACATGGATCATTATAAGCTACAAAGGACTTCAGGGTTACTTTGGCGTAAATTCTCACTACCACCAGGCCCCACACCTCAATTAGCACCTTTGTTGAACTGGATTAGAGATCAGAAAAAAGCAAAAGGCCCAGACAACAGAGTGATGAGCTTCCTCTCTGGTAAATCTGGATACAGATGAGAAAAGAGATCCATTAACTTCCACTGCATTTTCAAATGTGCCATTAAATATTTGAGTTATGATGCTGCTTGTTCTAACTCCTGTTTTATTGCTAATATTTCTTCTTAACTAGATGCTTAAGCTTTTATTTTTAAACTCTCCTGAGGCAAGGATCATGTCTGAATCATCTCTGTATCTCTATTACACCTGTCCCAGTATATTTCATATCTTTTCATATGGGGTCCTTTGTAGGTTTATTCAAATTAAATTACAGGCCTTATTTCCCCCTCTGTGCAGTAATAAATCATGTGGTACCAAGTAAATAGTAAAAAGTAACATGTGACGCAAAAACATCTCTTCTATGTTCAGGTGAAAAAGCAGAAAAATCACGTTTTTGGGGAACCTGCTTTTGGGGATTGCCAAATGACATCTGCTGTCATTTCGTGACAGGTCCCTATTAGCGGCTAAACAAAAGAGAATCTGTTTCAACTCATTTGCTTGACCTTTGTGTGTATCTGTTCTTCAGTAAGTTTCCTTCATTCAGACCACAGGAGTTGTACTAAGCCTTACCTTGAGTCCTCTTTGAGTTATAGTCTGCTTTCTTGGGGGAAAAAATGAGGGGAAGGTCATTTTCTAAAATGTACACCTTCTGGTAAATTTTAGGGACTTGGGGAAAATCTGTGACCACTAAATGACAACTACAATTCAGAAGCATGAAGAGCCATTCACTATAGAAAACAATGCCTTAAGTAGCCTGCCTTTGCCTCCTTTTCAAAAGCAACTTGCATTTTCAATGTGTAGATTAAACAATATCCACTTCTTAATTTATTAACTTACTTGGAATGGAAATCTAGGCTACAATGAGTAGGTATTCAAAGTGATTTGCTATTTTGTTTAAAGTTTCCATCGGGAACTCCATGATTTTTTCCTTTTGCCTCTCCTAGAAATCTCCACCGTCTGACTTCTGATGCCCATATCTTGATGGAAGAACACAGACTTTCTGTAGCTTGAGAAAAATCAGGTAAACATCTAGAGGATTGGCCAAAGAGGTCACCAAAAGTTCTTATTAAAAATTCAAATTTCTTTATATCAATCATAGCCAGGCCCTGGCCAGGTTGCTCAGTTGGTTAGAGTGTCATCCCAATATGCCAAGGCTGTGGGTTCGTCCCCAGTGGGCACATATAAAAATCAACCAATGAGTGCATAAGTAAGTGGAACAACAAATTGATGTTTCTCTTTCAAAACAATTTTTAAAAACTTAAAAAGAAAACAAAATCATAGTCAGTGATTCTTTTTCCTTCTATATGGGGAAAACAGACCAATCTTATCTCAGACTGAGGTAAATATATCCCCCGCCCCTCCCCCCCCAATTTTTAGGTCTATTAAATAGATCTGTCTAAAAAACAGACAAACAAACAAACAAAAAATCTATCTGGTCAGCCCCTACACTCAAGAGACCCTCTCAAAAAACGATGACATCAAATTCACTCATGATTTAAGAAAACAGCAAACTTGAGATGGCCAATCCACTGGAATTGGGGTCCCGTGTGTATGTGCGTGTACATGCACGTGTGTGAATTTCTGAATCTGTCAGTTTAGTTACTGGTTAAAGTGCCTCAAGTTAGCAGTATTCTTGATAGAAAATGTCAACATAGAGCACTAAGATCTGAAACCTGAGAATCTCATAATGATCCAAAAGCGGAAGTAGGGTCAAGTAGCTGGCCTCTGTCTGTTCTATTTAAACCATCTATTTTTTAAGATCTGGCCTTTGGGTGGGGGAAATTGTGCTGATGATCACCATTCCCTAATACCATCAAGAAAGTAGAGGAAGTGAAAACTATGAATTTGTTGATGAAAAGTTTCTTACTGGAAGCTGGTTACCTCCCCAGTGGAGTAGGTGAGGAAAATACAGAACATGGATTTGGAAAGAATTCAAAGCACTGGCAAGAAAACAGGACTTGGGATCCAGCTCTGGGAAATAGTGCTGATAAAGGAGAAAGAATTTATGTCTGAACCACAAAAACAAAAAATCTGATAATCAGTTTGAAATCAATCTCTAAGGGGTTATAAAAATTCTTCCAGAAATTTGACCAAGTCGTCACAACAGATGCCTGTTCATCTGAAGCCACTGTCTCTTTCCCCTTTTCCCCATTAGGTTCATAGTTAATCCTTGAACCTGACACGCTCTCACATGTTGAAACCCTCACTAAAGGCTGTTTCTCACTTGGTACAGTCACTACCACCTGCCCTTGATCTCCCTCTGCCTAGTAAACCATTCCTTCTCCTTCGGGTCTCAGTTAAAATATCACTTAAATTAAAAAAAACTTTCCCTGATGGCTGCCCCTCCTATTGATGATTAGGTTAAGGTCTCCGATTTTAAACTCCCTTAACTCCTTACACTTCTTCAACCCACTCATTACTCTTTTATTATTTAATGTCTGCCTTGAGTACTAGACCAGCTTTCTGGGGGCAGAAATCCAATCCTTTCTTCATCTCTTCATAACCCAGTGCCTGGCACAGAGCCTGGCACACAGCAGGTGCTGAGAAAATGTTTGTTAACCGATTTACCTGGATTCCTACTGATTTCAGGATTAGTGTTCTACCCCCACGAGGCCCTACAAAAGGGAGGTTCTGCAAATCTTCAAATCTACAAAAACCAGTCCCACGTGGCTTGGGGAATCCTGCCCATTCTGTGGCATTCACTCTATAAAGATGCGATTTTCCCACACATGTACCATGAATGTGGACTTGAACTCATTCACAGATATATGCTGACAAATTATTCTGAAGGCACAGCACAGAATTTTAGTTGCAAGTCCTGTGATGTGGACTGCTGGAAGGGAACCCAGCTTTGGATAACAGTGTCTGATTCTGGGCTCTGTTGTCCAGGAGGCTGCTGCATGACATCACACGGGCTGTCCGAGCACCATCACCACTGATCATGAGGGCCCAGGGCCCTAACCTCAGAATCATCATCTGAAGTCACCAAAAAAAAATTAGTTTTTCTCTCAGTGTTAGAATCTTACATTCTTTCTTTGGTAAGTACAGAATTCTTATTGATTCACTCTTTAACAGAAAAATATTCATTCCCTACCTTAAAAAAAAGCATTTGCTCTCTGTGAAAAACAGGAGGTAGAAAACACTTGACGTTGGTCATTTGAGGATTATCAGAGGAATAATCCCCCCTGTTTCCCAAGTCTAAGTCTCCATAAAATGCACCCCAATTTCAGACATGTTAAATTGTGGGGGAGCAAATGCATTCTAGAATTGACGAAATACAGTAAACACTATAGAAAAACTCATTGTTAAAATAGTTTAGCAAAGTCATTTAAATATAGCTTCTGTAATTCTTTGTGACTGGAATCCTCTGGAGACATTCATGCCTATAAGTATATAGAGAACTGTGGCATGTAAATTAAGCAAACATCAGAAGATGTGCTGGTTAAAAAAAAAGGGATTAGCATTCGAATATCACTATGCAATGTTCACCTACTTGTCTCCACCCCTGCATTGTGTTCATTTGAGCTGAGGTGTGGATGTGGCCAGCGTGACTTACCAGGCCTCTTCACTGAGCCCAGGAATGGCTGATCTCTGCTGGGGACCTGACGCAAGGCGTCCTCTGTCACGTCAACTGTGAAATGGAAAAGATAACACACTGAACCAGAGACCGCTAGTAAGGAGTATGCGATTAATGACCGCTAAATGTAACGGTGGAGGGGGGTAAGAAGGAGAAATACAATGTTCTATGATCACACATCCTCTGTGTGTGTGTATTACAAGGAAATCTACATAACTGGACAGTATAGGAAATTTCCACTGGCCCACATACATGGAGAAAATAGGTCAATCTGCAAGGCTATTCAGATTCATATGAGCTAAAGGACATTCAAGGAAGAAAATTTTACTCCGACAAAGGGAGAAGAGGGAAATGTATAAAGAGGTGGTGCGAAAAGGGGAGAGAAGATCACAGGTTTGCCCAGGTGCTTGAAACTCAACTCTGCTGCTTGCTAGCTGGGTGATCTTGGGCATTTTACTCGACCTCTCTGAGCCTCCTTTAACTCACCTAATATGGGTCTAATGTAACCCACATGTTAATGACATTGTGACAATAAATAAAATGACAGCTATGAAGCCCTGGGACCCTATGTGAAAGAAAACATTCATAAAAGGCAGCTATGAATATTATATTCATTTAAATTGCTTTCTGCAGAGGTACATTAAATTGTGGTCTTAAATCACCAAACACTCAAAATTGTTTAAAGCACCGTGAGCTGTATTTTAAATGTTCCCTTACATTTGGTAGCCCTGTATAGCTGGCTTTTCTGCCCATATATAACTAATATTCCAAACTATTCAGCTCATCTTTTAAGTAAAGACACTTGATTAGCTAGGCTCTCTACAGAATTTTCTTATGCTATTTCCCCATGAGGAATGACTAAAACTCCACAAGAGTCTCACTTCCGCCCTCTCCAAGAAAGACCGTGAGTCCACAACCTACATCTGGGAAGTAAGGCACTGAATTCTGCTAACAATTCCACCTCAGTAATCATCTGTTCCAAAGTTCTTCCCAACTCAATGGCCTAATTAACTAAGGTTGAGCTTTTTATTAACATATGGTGCTTGAAGGAACTTCGACCCACAGAAACCTGGTGTTTGACTTGCTTCTCTGAGTCCGACCTGTGTCACGAATGCCAGTTTCAAGGGTAATAAAGGACTAGCTGTTTGCTTATTGCAAACGGAGGCGGTGCCATGTCATTACCTGACTTTTACCTCTGCTGGCCACTGAACCCTGGAAGAGAAAGTGTGCAGCCCACATGTCAGTTTTTAGAGTGAATGGAATGAAAGGATCTATATTTCCAAACTGAAAAGCACCTAAATTCTACTGGCGTATTAACTAAATGTCAGTTGTTTCGGAAACATGAATGTGGTCCCAAGATCAAGGTGATGAAAGTGTAGGTCAGGTGCTGAGCAGGTGCATGCAGGCCTGTCCAGATTCTGCCTTGGTGAGCAGACTGTTCTCTCTGATGGTTTCTGAGTTCCTCTTTATCAATGTGTTACATAAAACATGCATCGGACACAAGGCAGAGGCCACAGTACTTGAGAGTTCATGTTTCTGCTTGTTATCAGATTAACAGTGTCCCCCAACATTCTTATGTGGGAGCCATGGCCCCCAGTATGTCAGAATGGGACTGTATTTAGAAATAGAGCCTTTAAAGGGGTCAATTAATTATTGACGTGAAGTCATATGGGTGGACCCTAATCCAATGCCTGATGCCCTTATAAGAGGAGATTAGGACACATTCACACACAGACTAAGGGGCAAGCATGGGAGGACACAGGGAGAAGGTGGCTATCTGCGAGCCAAAGAGAGAGACCTCAGGAGAAACTAAATCCGCTGACACCTTGATCTTGGACTTCCAGCCTCCAGAATTGTGAAAAAATCAATTTGTCTTGTTCAGGCCACCCAAGCTGTGGTATTTTTGTTATAACAAACTAGTACACTGCCCCACTCCCTGTGCCTCTCAATCTTATGTCCTAGGACCAAGCAGGCAACAAATGAATGAAGGAGACAAAGAACAAGATAATGGAGTGGTACAGACAGTGGTAAACAGGAGAGAACATGTTCTACCTACAGCCATCAAATTTTAAAACTTTAAAATACAAAATATATTCATGGCTTAGTTATGCTGGTGACCCTTCAGCTGCAATCCCTGGGCTAAACTACTGCGAGCTGACATTTAACAACAATTGACATTCAAAAACACCCACTATTGAGGCTTTCAACAAATATTAATTGATCAGCTACTATAGGCCAGGCCCTATGCCAGACACTGGGCATAGCAGTGCTGAGTAAAATAGGTGTCTTCTCTGCCTTCGTGGTATGTGAATGGTCTGGACTGGAAGTCCAGGCATAGAGCTAGGCTAGAAATACCAAGTTGAAAAGACAGAGTTGCTGCCCTCTAGGAGAGTACAGATTAGCGGGGTACAGAGATGCAATGAGAACATTCTAAAACGATGTGACCCTGGCTTAATATGCAAGAGGCAGTGGAAAGTGGGAAGATGACTCCAAGTCCATCAAGGTTAATCGAGAAAGATGTGAGCCACCTCCTGAAGGATCAGGTGCAACTTGTCTGGCAAACAAGGGACAATGGACGAGGAGAGGTCACTTTCTAGACAGAAGGAACAGCTAGTTCCTGGGTCCTGGGACATGAGAGGGCATGGCATCTTTGGACAATGACATCTAGTTGGACTGAGGTGGGCAGCGGAGAGCAGCAAGGCGTGCCATTGAGCAAGGCAAGGAACCAGGAGCTCACGTCTTACTGCGCAGTGAACCACTGGAGAATTTTAATCAGGAAGGTGACACTGCCAAAACTCCGTGTGAGAAAGGTCACTCTGACCACAACTCAGAAGGGGCTAAGGGCAAGGCAACCAGCAGGGGAAGATGAAGGCAGGAACCAGGGAGACGCACAGAGGGATGCTTGGTAGTCAAGGTCGGGGATGCGGAACTGGAACAGTCATGGGCATTCAACCATGGCCCAAGGACATTATGTGTATAAAGAGAAGCCCTAGTATTTTAAACTGGGTACTTTGGTAAATGAAAACATGCATTTCTTAAGAAGCTCTTCATTTAATTTATCTCACATTTCATGTCAGGAAACTAACCCTACTCACTCTTCCTACCCGTCAAAGCCGGATGTGACGGTAGGGCAGCTTCCTCAGCTGTGAACATGACAATAATGGCACTTTCCTCATAGGGATTCCTTGAGTTCATTAATACAAATACATACTTAAGTGCGACAAATGTTAGCAATTATTAAAGCAGAAATAAACTTTAAAGAATGCATAATTAATGACTGTGCAATTAACACTCCTCCCTCTCAGGGACTATGAGCCAGATTAAACCAACAACCCCAACCACAGAGTAAAAACTTCTATCAGTAATTGTCTTGGAAAGGAGCAGCCTCTATCTCCTTGATCTCGCCAGAGTTCGCCCACAGCCTCTTAGAAAGGGCCCTCATATTTGTGCATGATCATGATTTTAACTTTATAAAATGCCTTGTCTCAGGTAACCTTTTTTTCAAAGATTAAAGACTCAAGGGACTGTGGGACCTACAAGGGGAGACTGATTGCAAAGGGGCACAAGAGAACTTTCTAGAGAGACAGAAATTTCTGTCTTGATTGGGGCAGTGATTCCAAGGCTCTATGTGTTCCAAATATCACTTCAAATGCGTGAACTTTATTATATGTAAATTCAACTTTGACAAAGATTGACTAAAAGTGAAAGAGATGGAAGGTAGGAGGAAGGGGAAAACAGATTTGCATGAAAGAACTTGTCCTAAAACTTTCAATTTCCACCCTGGCCGAGTGGCTCAGTTGGTTGGAGCATAGAAAGGTTGCAGGTTGGATCCCCGGTCAGGCGCGTACCAGAGGCAACCGATCAATGTTCCTCACACTGATGTTTCTCTCTCTCTCTAAAAACCAACAAAAACATATCCTCAGGTGAAGATTAAAAAAACAACCAAAACTTTCAATTTCTAAAAACATCATCTCTTTGATGGGACGAAGCTGGCTAGGAGTGTAAAGAGCTTGCTTGTGCAAGAGTCATTTTGAAAATTCACCCTCATTTTCCTCATCTAAAGAACAGTACTTTCCACTCCTAGTTTCACTGGACAAGCTGCCCTCTTGTGGCTCTGATATATATTTCCTGAGCACAAAAGTCGGCAGTTATTAAGCTAATAGGGTGGCAATCCCAGCCTGCGCATAAATATTTCTCAAGGTAACTGAGAGAGGGGCTGCTGGCCACTTCCACACAAGAGAGCACGTGGGCCATCATGGGCTGTGTGGCAGCTGAGCTTTAAATAGCTAAGAAAACAGGGTTGCCCCAAAATATGTATGGTCTGAGGTTGATGAATTCAAAAGACACTTTATCTCCATTTAAATTGTTGGTTAATTTTAATGTACCATAGCACACACTTTCACTTTTGCAACACAGAATCTGCATTTCACAAGCAAGCATGTGTCTCAAACGGGGTGAGTGCAAAGAGCACAACTGAAAGTTCTACCATCTGTGAATATTACTCAATAGTCCCAAGATATCTTTGCACAAAGAAAGAAAACAACAGCCACGCAAATACAACCCAAAACACTGGGTTTTATTAACATTGGCAAGTGAGGGACCTAGGTGTCTTGTGAAACGTTAAGCGTTTGTTTAATAAAAGGAAAGAAGGAAGGACTGAGGGAGGGAAGAAGGAAGTAGACAAGAAGGGGGGGAGGGAGGGAGGATCAAACCGTATCTTTCAAAAGCTGCACGAAAAGGGAAGACAAAAGATGGTACACGCATGACCTCAAAAAACGGCGACATTATCTCCTTAGGAAGCAGTTGATCTTCATACAAGGCCTTTTGTAAAAGAAACAGAGAGGAAAGATAACAATGTAGGTGAAAAGCAGCTGCATTTTAGCTGCTGAGGTGTTAAAAATTCAAGTCCAGATCAGTAGTATGAGGCTGGGCGAAATTAACTTCCACCAGGGCTACGCTCACTCCTGATGAATGACTGCTGAGTCCATGTTCTAGAAGAGCAATCTTTCTTTTAAAAAAAATATAAATATATATATATTTTATTGATTTCAGAA